TTAATTAGAAATTTTAATCTCTTTGAATCTGTACCACCTTCGACCAATGAATATGATCTTCAAAATCAACGAATATCAACTAGATTGTTCGTTATCCTATTGATATTCTTGTTTATAATTCTTTTTACGTATGATTCATTAAGTAATATCACAGTTACGATCGAGATAAAAGAACCTAATTTAGAAAAATATTCACAATTATTTTTAACATATTCAGACAGTCTTACATGTCCATGTACAACAACATCGATTAATTACAACAAACTCTTTCGTATTGATTACACATTTCATCAGCTGTGCAATAGTATCTTTATGTCACAAGATTGGCTTAATTTTATCGGTCATTATAGGTACTGGGCATGGCTTTCATTTGACAACTTCCTATTCAGTGGTCTGACACAATTTCAAGCGTTGAATATGTTTTGTCAAATGTCTAATCAAACAATTTCAAACAGTTTGATTCAATATAATTCAACTCTATATGTTAGTGCAAGTGTTACAGCATCACACATATTCACGTTACAAACTCAAGCACTGATTAATCAATTCCAGGACTTAACAAAAACAAATTTTCTTCCTACACTTCATATGATGCAATATATTACTCAAGCCAATGGGCTATACTCTGCATGGCACACGAATTACGATTTCAAGGTACTATCTGACATGATCAAGATAGATGTATATCCACGATGGTACGGCAACTGTAGTTGTGATTATACAGCGAGATGCGTTTACCAAACACGCATCTATAGGTTTGATAACGAGACAGAAGCATTTTATGTACCAGGTTTATTACTTGGCTGCTATGTCATTGATGCTTCAGTCAACTCTTGAATGTTTTTATAATGAAACATGTATCACTGAAATTCTGTCATATTATGATGATACTCCGTCAATGAATGTAACACCTCTTAATTCATCATTACCAAGTCAATATTTTGTCAATTCAACAATACAAGATCTTGTCAATAATTTAATGATAGAACAATGGAACATATCAACTACATACGAGAACTATTATAATCAATGTCAACCAATAGAATGCACATATACTTATGAAAGAAAAAATGGTGTGATTTATATAATCACTGCATTGCTTGGATTGATGGGTGGTTTAATAACAATTTTGAAACTGATTGTGCCGACATTAGTCAAGTTCATAAAAAAAATGAGAAGAAGAAAAATACAAGGAATAGAACATGGTAAGATGGTAGTGTCTGCGTTTTATTTGCGAAAAATTTATTTATCATCGATCAGTGTCGTGAAAAAAGTAAAAGTTGAAGAAATATTTCGACAGAAAGATAATTGCATGTTTGGATTTCAACATAAATATGTGATTGTAAATGGACTAAGATAAATTAAATTGATGACTGTTATGAGTAACGACTAATTTTTACAAAATACTCAAGCGAAATTTCTAACTTAAAAAGCAGATAAATAGTTTTATGAACTTTTTAAGAAATCGATTCTTGAAATTCGTGAAATTTCGATTCTTTAATCATATCGTTGTAATAGTGTATAAAAGTGGATCACTACAGGGAAGAAATAAACAATATCTACTACAAAGCATAGAAAGTTAAAAGAAATACAACAAACAATATCTGTCCAGACGATGATCTGGATGTTTTAACGATTTTCAGTGTATTTCTGAAAAAGTAACATGATTTTTCACAAATGACCAGTGGAATTCGAGGTTCAGAATCTTGGATCAGCAAAGTTCGAATTGAATGTCTAACAATTCAATCTCTTATCGGTTTTTCTGCGAAATGTTCATCTTGAGGGTGGATGTGAATATGATATGTTAATCTAGTCTTTTCTGACATCAATATTCAAATCGGCGCTCTGCAAGAAATGATCCAAAAAATCGTCAGAGAAAGCAAATGGTACATCATGTATAATTTAGTATCGAAGAAAAAGTGAAAGGAAAATGACTTCTATTAAATCTTTTCTTAACATATAATATGATATATCAATAGATCTTATGACATCAAAAATGTATTAACTTCAATAATATAATTCTTCTCTAAAGAAATAAAAATAAAAGATGGAATATAACGTTTTGTTTTATTTGTTTGAAATTTTCTATGATCATATTACTTAGCCAACGTATATCCTTTTGAACAGTAATCTTGTAGTTGATCCTCTGTATTGTCATAGGATAACAGAAGAGCAGAGATGATTCGAGCAAAAGTGAAAGACGCGCAAGATAAGTATATCTTCAGTTTTGAAAGTTTTACTTTCACTTCTTTTTTTAAGCCAAAGTAAAGTGAAAGCACCATTCCATAAATATATTTCTTTTATTTTGTGACTACTAACAGAATAATAATAAATCCATCCAATCATTTCTGCACCATATTTTAAACTTATTCTAAAGATATATTTTCTCATTTAAAGTTTTCTTTTACAGAAGATGATGTAAATGCAACAAATATCAGTTTATTATCAAAATCAAAAAACTATCTGATAAAATTAAATTTGTTTTCATCGATTCCACCTTCGACTATTGAATATGATCTTCAAAACGAACGAATCTCAACAAGAATATTCATTATTTTATTGATTCTTTCATTAACTATTCTTCTCTTACAGAAGTTAATTATAACGATGAAATTATATGTGTTAATATCAGAAATTAAAAAAATCTGTTAAAGTCGAATCATTGGTGTATGAGATTATCAGAGAACAACGAATCGTCGTCTACGAAATGACGCTAGAACCACCCTCGGAGCCAGCCGGGTCGAGAATTGTCTTTCTTTGGTTTCAAAGTTGTCTTTTTGGAAACTTCTGAAACAACTAGAAGTAATACTAAAAAGAGTTTAATTTGATTTATCCTATCTCCTTGTGCTTACTTTGATATTCGCCTTGATTGTTTTTGGGCTGAGTCATAATAGGTTCGTTTTTAGACGATGGAAGAGGAAGTTTTGAGGCGAATTCTAGTTGAGCCTACGTACAAAAAATAACCAATTTGTTAGATACAGCTAAGATATTTAACTTACTTTCATATCTCGTGTATTTGCTGTCGCTTCGGAGAGAGAACCAGCAATACTAAAGGATACTTCCTGTCAAAAGAAAGTGAGCCATATGTGTTAAAGTTGAGATGGAACTAACCGGTGGTGGTAACGCCACTGATGGTTGCTTGAAGATGTTGAGGAACGAGAAACCTTCACGTAACATAGTTTGCCACGTGTCTCTGCAACACAATCTCTGCAATAAGCTAAAGGACCGTTCACGCATAGTAGCAGTAGACCAGTAATTTTTATTCGTAGCCACCGTTTGAAACCAAAAGAACAATTTGTCTCGCTCGAGACATTGAGCAATACCAAAGATGAGTTCGTCTACTCCGGAGGTATTTTTAACGATGTTGATTGTGGCATCCTCGTAATTAAACGGTACACTATTAACCATAGTGCAAAGTGACGTCTTACCAAAGTAGATGACATCATTGGCTTCACGTCGTACATCATTTGGTAGTTTGGTCTTTTCGAGCAGACTAAGGAATTCTCGATAGAGAGCTAATCGTAATTTTTTATCTTTCCACATATTTGTACATACGAGTGCAACGAAAATGGTTCGTTTAATACATTCGTGTACAAACCATTCCACTTGAACCATATCGGCATAAGAGCCAGGTGATGCACAATAAATCATGCACAATGGATTGGTTTGATCCAAAAGGGTAGTAAATGTTCCACGAACAAAGTTTTCTTCCCACGACTCAAACCCCGGTGTGTCCCAGAAAATTGTTTCATGTTGAATATTGGAAGAAGTGTTTTCCTCAGATGATATTGTCTTGTAGCCTCTGATACCTTGCGTACAAGAACCAAGGCCAGCACTCGTTTCAGCAAGATATTTTTGGCAGATTGCATTGATTAAAGTGCTTTTCCCTACTCGTGGAGCGCCACAAAGAATGACATTGGATGTGACAATTTTTCGCTCTGTCATTCTAACACCAAAATTTATATCTAGAATTTCATGTAGAAAATGAACATAAAATCAAAGCAGAACTAAGATTATCGATTAAAAAAAGTGTTTGAAAGAAAACTTTTCATGGCAAGAGCAGCATTTTCGGCTGATGTCTCTGTCCACAATTGGAGGTTCGAAAAGCGCGAACTCACATAACCTCCCACGCGATGACGAACTTTGTCCCAAAAGCTACGATTGTTCAGCACTGCTTGACACCAGCCGAGAAGTTTATCGTCAGAAAGGGATTGCATTATACAATGAATGAGTTCATCGACTCCACGAACAGGAAAAATACCACTGAAATCGCTTTCAAACGGTTCACTATTGACCATTGTACATAGAGCCAAATTTCCAAATGTTGTCACAGAATGATAAGGTTCTCTCGGATCGTTTATGGCAAACTTACACTCTTGTCTTCGTCCTGAATCAACAAATAGTCCTTCAAGATCAGCCATGGCTGTCTTCCGCGCGTTGTTGTTACCTAATAGGAAATTTAAGGTAACATTAACACATGTTAGATAATCTAAGAAAAACTCTTACCTGACCACATGTTTGTCAAAACAGCAGCACAGAAAATGTCATGCTTCTGACACATGTCCAGTGTTTCTTTCACTTGAGCCAAATTTGCAAAACATCCTGGCGCTGCACAGAAGATAACACAAATTGGTTGAATATTTCGGATAAAATGGAACATAGCATGTTTTCCTTCCTGCTGAGTCCACGCTTCAATTCCCACTGTATCCCAGAAAAAGATCTTCGTTTGTTGATCTTGTGGTAAATTAGTCTTCAGTTGATATCGTTTAGCTTCCGATGTGCAAGCATTGAGACCAGCACTTGTTTCCGCTAATTCTCTAGGATCTGTGATACCCGTGAGAGCATTGATCAATGTACTTTTACCAATGCGTGGTGAACCCATAATTAATATATTGTATTCCATGGCCTTTTTCACATGATCGATTTCGACATTATAATAACTGCTTTGTAGTACATCTGTCATATGATTCGAAAATGCAATCCAATCTTCTTTTCGTTTAGCCGGTGGTAAGGAAATAGAGGCGGTCGGCTTTGCTTCGTTTATGGTACTTGTTTTAGGAGGGACGAATGTTAAGGAAGAGAGGGTATTGTTGGTATTAGTCGAAGCGGGTGAATAGTGCTGAAGACTAGCAAGATGAAAGTCATCATCTTTCGAGGTGAAGTGCGGTTGTGTAGAGGTGCCAGCGAAGCTGTTTGAAAGGTGCATTCTGCCTTCATAGGAATTGTTTTCCGTTTGACTGTCATTACCAATGCTTTGTCGACGGATTTCCAGTTCGGGATTGGACGTAGTAGGTTCTGAGGGAACTTTGTCGTTAAGGCGTGGAAGACGTGATAGCTCTAGCATCTCGTGGTGGCTACTACCATCATGTACAAGGTCATTCTCATCCGTTATTAACGAACTTGCTGCCAAAGGATGAGTGAATTCAGGAGTAGACGTATCAACTGAAGATAAAACTGGTGTGGTTGTATTTATTCTTACTGTCATCAGAGTCCTGCTCACCTTTATTGAGGAAGTCATCATCAGTTTTGATTTCTGAACATTTCTTTTTCGATTTATCCACCGTTTGAGGTGCACTGATCGAAGACGAGTCGTGAGGTACTTCGACTTCAGTGGATTCCTGATCGTGAGTCGACTCTTCGTTGTTATCGACTGCAGCAGCACCAAAACCTTCTTCGCTCTGTACGTGAGCTGTCTCGTCCATAGTTGTATTCAACTGCTGCTCATCGTTCGTTTCAGGATTCGAAGCAATGCTTTGAATATCCTCTGTTGAAGACTGTTGCTTTTCTACTTCATACAAGAATTCCTGGTCGTGACTCGACTCTTCGTTGTTATCGACTCCAACAGCATCAAAATCTTCTTCGCTCTGTACGTGAGGTGTCTCGTCCATAGTTGTATTCAACTGCTGCTCATCGTTCGTTTCAGGATTCGAAGCAATGCTTTGAATCTCCTCTGTTGAAGACTGTTGCTTTTCTACTTCATACAAGAATTCCTGGTCGTGACTCGACTCTTCGTTGTTATCGACTCCAACAGCATCAAAATCTTCTTCGCTCTGTACGTGAGGTGTCTCGTCCANACTTCATACAAGAATTTCTGATCGTGACTGGACTCTTCGTTGTTATCGACTCCAACAGCATCATAATCTTCTTCGCTCTGTACGTGAGGTGTCTCGTCCATAGTTGTATTCAACTGCTGCTCATCGTTCGTTTCAGGATTCGAAGCAATGCTTTGAATCTCCTCTGTTGAAGACTGTTGCTTTTCTACTTCATACAAGAAACATTTACTGACACTATATTTTAGCGTTTTTACTAAGTTACAATACCTTGTTCTTTATTATCACTGGTGCTGGCCAGCTCAGATAACACTTTTCTTGTGAACCAGGATGTGATAGTCTAGCGGCCTGCAGGAAGAAGACGAAGATCTTGAGAGGTTAGACCAAAGGTAAAGGTAAAATGAATCACTTACTTTATATTGTATTGTCCTGGCTTCTGAAATGTTTAGTTCTATGAGGAGAATAGCTCATTGTTTTATAGGTGAAAGATGAGAAGAACATGTTGAAAAAGACACGTCATATTGTTGTGTAGATAAGTGCGTATTGACACAAGAAGTGTCACCGACAAACAGGTAGTTAGTTGGAAAAAACCGTATGTAAGTCAAAGATATGCAAGATATGCAAACTTATGCAAGTTGGAAAGAAGAAAAGTATTATGAATGATTTTGTTCTTAAAAAAGATACTCGAAGTGCATCGTTCATTGTCATCCGCTTTGAGCACAGATTGCCATTTCAGT